TTAAACTTTCACTGACTGCAGTGACTGTGGAAAATCTCCTGGAAAGACTTCTGAAACCCTCAGTTTAAAATGTAAATGCACGTGGTAAGTTCAGAGTTATTCTTGTTGTACCATATATTCTTGTAGCTCCTGGGGATGTTGTAAAGTCTGAGAATTTATTTTGACATGCATAAATGTTTGCCTTTTGACTTCCTTTAATTATTTTTTTTTCTATCATTGGGTTCAAATGAAAATGCTTGAAATCAAAATGTTTACTAGGAAACTTTTTCCTGCTTCTTCTCACACATGGAACTCAAGTCTGTTAAAGGTGAATAAGCATAGCTACTGTCTGGATAAGCAAGAAAGGACTTCTATGGTTGTAATTTTTTTTTTTTTTAATTATTTTGTGTGTTTTTTTCCTCAAATCATGTTCAGTTGTGGTAATGAGCGTGCTTGAATTAGAAGTTGAAAGTAGGTGCCTGTGTAACCAATAGTGACACTGAGGAATGGAGAGGTGGTGAACGAATATAAAAATGACAGCAGTGTGAAGCAGCCCTTTTTAATTCAGAGCAATAGCCTTTTAAATGACTTTCTTTTTAATAAATAAGAAAAGGTTTTTAAATCTACCTCAGGTTTATGTTCCAGACCTTCGGTGTTAAAAATGAACAGCAGCCAAATTATGCTCTCAGCTACTTGAACAATGTGCCAGGCTTTTGTGTAGCACCTGCTGCTTGCAAGACAGATTAATTTAAAAATCCTTGGAAAAAAAGAAGGCAGGAAAAGGTTTTCAGGCAGTCTGTATCCTTCCTCTGGTCTTCAGCCTGACTGGAATGACAGTGCTTTTGTCACTGGAGGCAGTATCAGCTTTGAGCCCTTCAAAGATGCTTTCCTTTGGATTGATTTTGACTTGAGCATAGTCAAATTCTGGGAGAAGAGAATCACCCCGTGCTTCGGTCTTGGCAGGTGAATGAAAGCATCAAGTAAAAAAAAAATGGTACTTACCTTAAAAGATATTTAATTTTGAACAGTTGTAACAGAGATGCCACGTTCAAGTACCTGTCTGTCCACATGTGGTGCTGGAGGTGTCCAACCCCTCAAGCTCTGGAGCTGGGAGGATGTTTGCACGTGCAGGGTGCACACTCCCAGCTTCTCCACAGGTTTTGTGAGCAGAAAAAATAGCACAGGATTTCTTCTGCTCAGTTGTTCTCCAGTTATTTTGACTCAAGATGAATTTCTGCAGCCTAATTGAAATCAACTTCTTCAAGGCTTTAGGAAAATGGATTCTGGATTTTAAGTTTTACAGCTTCGTTTTTCATATTCAAACTTTTTAGAGGGATTTTTTTTTTCTCCCTCTGGATTCATCTGTCTTGCTGAAAACTGGAGGTTTGTGTGATAGTAACCATTGATTTCTTCTGCTGAAAGAAATCCTTTCTTGATCCCTCTCACTTCCCCTGTGCTTCTTTCCTTGTTTTTCCATGACTTCGCTGCTGTCTTCCAGCACCTCTAGTGGGGTTGGGCCTTCCAGGGACTCACATTGTAGGTGTTTTTCTTGGTTAATATTCCTAAAAACTGTTTCACTTCTAGTTTCTGGCTACAAAGGAACACAAAATTTGGTCTCATTTCTGTGGACTTGGCCTTCAATCCCAAACTAGAATCACAGGATGGTTTGGGTTGGAAGGGAGCTTAAAGATCATCTAATTCCAGCCCCCTGCCATGGGCAGCGACACCTTCCGTTATCCCAGGTTGCTCCATCCAGCCTGGCCTTGGACACTTCCAGGGATGGGGTAGCCACAGCTTCTGTGGGCAACCTGTGCCAGGGCCTCATCACCCTCACAGCCAAGAATTCCTTCATTACATTTAATCTAAATCTCTCCTTCAGTTTAAAACTCTTTCCCCTTGTCCTACCTCTATCTCTCTGTGTAAAAAGTTGCTCCCCTCTTTCTATAAGCCCCCCTCAAGTACTTGAAGGCTGCTGTAAGATCTCCCTGGAGCCTTTTCTTCTCCAGAAACGTGTGCAGAGTACCTGGAGTTTTCTGCGCCTGGGGAAGATGCACCTATGGAGGTGTCCATGTGAATGCTTTCAGTGTCAAAGAAGTGTCATGTAGAAGCAAAGCTGCGAGGAATCCGATCCAGAGAGAGATTCCTGTCCCCATGGCTTTACGAGAGACCTTTCATCTCCTGTGTCTGACATTCAGAGGTGCCATAGGCACAGTCACGTCTCGGTGAAGCTCAGCAACATCCCAGCCAGGTGCCGTGGAGGCAGTCCCCAAATGTAGAATGTGTGCTCCTGAGGGACCCAGCAGGCAGAGGAACGAACAAGGAAGAGCATTCCCCCGTGCCATTCCCACTGCCTATTCGGAATTCTGCAGCTTGGCTTCCTCAGACATGCCTTGGTGACTTCCTGACATGCTGTGACATCTCTTGGTGTGAAAAGCTCCCGGGGTTGTCAGTTTGAGCACCTCTGCAGCACGCAGGAGGTTTACAGGAAAGAGAATGTTATCTCCTTGTCCTCAGGAAAACATTTCCCTTCCTCAGGTTCAGTTTCCCTTCGGGTTCAATTTCAAACCAGCCACGGCAGCCCTTGTTATCCCACACCTGTGGGATAGCACAGTTTGCATATTTATTTTATTTTAGGATGTTTCTTTTCAGACTTATGGCAGATCGTCTCCAATGACAGGTTTTCGTGTTCCCTGTCTCACTTTTAACACACCCTGGGGCTGTCAGCAGCAGAAGTTCCTTTTGGTTGAACTCTCAAGTATCTTAATAATCTCTTCACTGTCACATAATCACTGAATAGACTCACAGAATGGTTTGGGTTGGAATGAACCATACAGTTCATCTCGTTCCAGCCCCCTGCCATGGGCAGGGACACCTTCCACTAGACCAGGTTGCTCCAAGCTCTGTCCAACCTGGCCTGAAACACTTCCAGGGATCCAGGGGCAGCCACAGCTTCTCTGGGCAACCTGTGCTGGGGCCTCACCACCCTCACAGCCAGGAATTCCTTCCCAATATCCCATCTACCCCTGCCCTCTGTCAGTGGGAAGCCATTCCTCCTTGTCCTGTCCCTCCATCCCTTGTCCAAAATCCCTCTCCAGCTCTCCTGGAGCCCCTTTAGTTACTGGAAGGGGCTCTAAGGTCTCCTTGGAGCCTTCTCTTTTCCAGGCTGAACACCCCCAGCTCTCTGCTGGTCACACTTCTTGTGATGCAGCCCAGGACACATTTGGCTCTTTGGGCTGCAAACACACATTCCTGGGTCTTGTTGATCTTCTCATCTGCCAACACCCTCAAGTCCTTTTCTTCAGGGGTCCTCTCAATCCATTCCCTGCCCAGCCTTTTTTTGTGCTTGGGATTGCCCTGACCCAGGTGCAGGAGCTTTCACTTGGCTCTGTTGAACTCCATTTGCAGCTCATCAGTACTTCCATGTCTTGTAGTTGATTTTGATACTCCTTCAATATGCATGTTTAGAAAAAACACCATGTTCTTCCCAAGTGAGAGTAATTAACACGGGGCACAGAAAAGCTACTTCTTCCTGTATATATATTTTTTTTTTCCTGTAGAGAGGCTGGACTTGATCCCAGGAGGAGTTTGAGGATCACTCCTCCCTAAATTGCTGTTCTTCCATGTTCATGGAGTTCTCACTAGATTGCTGCTTGCTCTGGCCACCTTAAGCTGCCATCTCTGCTCTTCAAAGCCAGGCTTGTTTCCATTCCTGTCTTGCTCTGTCAGTGTAAAACAACGATATAATTACAGTTATTTTTAGTGAATCAGATGTTTACCAGGGCTAATCCTCTCCTAATCCCCTTGTTTCTTACAGATTTCATTTAGTTTTTCATCAGTCTGTGTCAAGTCTGTCTGCCTTGGCAAAGAAACAAAAATTATCAGAGGAGAAAGGTCACAACATCTGGCTGCACGTGGCTGGTTTGTCCTGTGGCAGAGTTAGAATATGAGATCACGATGGCTCAGGCTTTCTCAGAATGTTTTTAAAAGAGTATAAAAAATTCATTTGGGTGGTTCAAGTAGGAGACAGGTTAGAGCTCTACTTGCTATGGAAAAAACAAACCCCAAACAGCCCCTCTGGGTGTTTTCCATGACTTTGGACTTTTTAGCAAGACCAATGACAGTTAAATAGCAATTTTTTTGGGCACAGGGCTGTTGCTGTTGTCAGCACACCCCATATTAGACGAGAGCTAAGCAGCAGATTTCCAAACTCTGGTGAAATCCGAATTCCTTGTGATACATCTCGGGTGCTACTCTGCCCCTGCGAGCTCCAAGCCTTGGATGATTTTGATTTGCATTAAAACATTCCTGTTGTGCTTAATCCCGACAATCAGGCAGCGTGTCATGAGGTCGGTCCCAGAGCTCAGTCAGTTCCAAATCTGGAAAACACAGTAACTGCACAGAAAAAAAAAAAAAAAAGAAAAGAAAAAAGCACACTGGAGCTCTTAGTGGCTTTTTGAAAGAGCTAAATTCTGTTCTGTGCCAGAAATTGCTCATTCAGAGCCTCACTGGGCTGCTTTTCCAGCTCCTGGATGTTTCTGAACGGAAGAAATGCAGGAGGTTTCTAGTAATGGGGCCTTGAAAGCTTCTGTTAGTGCAGAGCAATCAGACCACAGGATTTCACAGGAGAGAGGACTGAAATTCCACTTTTTTTTTTTTTAAGTGATGAAAGTACCTGGAGCAGCCACCTGCTCCTCACACCCACCTGCAGTATTTCAAGATCCATTCCCCTGTCCCTGTTTTTTAAGAGAGTATTTTGGAAATCTGCCATCCCAAAATGAGGGTGGGAGGAGATTGATGTGAAGTGTCCTCACAGGTGCTCTCCAAACTGCTGCGTGTCCTGGTCAGATTAATCCTAAATGTAAAAATTTCTCAAGGTAAGAAATAATAAGAATTCAGGTATAATGGAGCTCTGTGTTTTAACCCGTGTGTAAATTACCCTTCTCTCTTCTCTCTCTGTTTAAAGAGGATTTTTCTTTTGTCCTTTACCCATATAAATGAAATATTGTTCCTTTTTGCTGCAGCTATTCACAGTCTAAAGTTGAGTCGGAACCACGTGGACTGGCACAGTGTGGATGAAGTGTATCTGTACAGTGATGCAACCACATCCAAAATTGCAAGGACTGTTACACAAAAGTTGGGGTTTTCCAAAGGTAACACTTCTCAGAGTTTGTCAAGAATATTGTAAATACCAGTGTTTTAAGTTTTTTTTTTTACTTTAACACTAGAGGAAAGTTTGAAGTTTTAGTATGTGAGTAGCCTGCTTTGGCCATTGCATTTTTTTATTTTATGTGAATGTTCAGAGTCCTTAGGTTGTGTACATTATTGTAACTAGATGTGAATTTTTAATTTTAATTTTATATATAGTATATATTTATTTTATTATATTTTATTTTTAATACATATTTTATTTTGGCTGTGGCATTTAGCATTACATAACAAATACATTAAAATATTACAGTGGCAGAGCAGCAGATACTGTAAAATCAGAATTATTACTGTAGTAATATAATATTACAGTTCCCTTTGCAACCTTAACTTTACCACTGTGTACTTGCATATTGTGATGCATTTCTTAAATCCATGATCATACCTTCACTCTCACCATCTCCTGCCCTTTTTTTCCATTCATTAAACAGACATATGAACTGAGAGAAGGGGTGAAGCATTTAGAAAAAATTAGAAAAATCGACATTTAGAAAAAATTATTTGCAGTAGGAATAATTTCCAGTAGGAATTCAGACTCATTTAAGCTCAGAACTCCCAGTCATAAAGCCAGCAAGGCTGAGATGGTTGGAAGAGAGGATGGTCCCTCTCAAGGAAAAGGCAGATTATTGCCAACCTAGAAAATTGGAATTTTTTTTCCTCTGTCATGTCCTGTGCAGGACAGCTGCCAAAACAATAACATAAACATCTGTTTTGTTCCTTGGCCTCTGAAGAGGCAAGACCAGGTAATAGGTCTGGCTTTAATCTCCATGCCTCTGTCTTGTAATTATGCCCTCTTAACCCCCCCAGGGCTCTTGGGTGGATACTTAATTAATGTTTGCCAAAAAAATAGTATAATTCAGTGCTTCAGTTCCAGAAGAAACGAAGTAATTTATCCAAAACATGATTTGGAAAGTGTATAATAAATAAAAAATCTGTTGTAAACAATTTGGGGGCACAAGTATTAAATAGAAGACTAAAGCTGTCTTAGGTGAAAAAAGTCCTTAGTGGTTTTGTGGTGTTTTCCTCCTCTTTAGGAACAAAATCAGCTGTTTGTTTCAGTTTTTGAGACCAACACTGGTGCCAGGCTCTGGGTCCCCTCCGTGGGTCTGTCACTAGAGGGGGATGGAGACACACAGTGCCAGTGGGTTTATCAATCCATCAGCACAGCAGGGAGAAAATACCCATATTTACCCTGGGTAATTGATTTTTGGTTTGGCCACTGAGCTGGAGAACAAGTTTGCAAATTTTGAGGTTGGATCAGCTTGAAATAAAACATGTTTTCCCCATCAAAATGAAAAATCGTGAAGGTTTTCAACCAGCTCTTTTAATGGGGGCAGATGCAATGGTGACAATTAATTACTTACACGGCCAGATAATTTCCATGATTCTTCCATCCATAGGAGTAAGGTGGAGATAAAAGGAGGTTTAATGATGGAGACACCCAGAAGAAGAGTTTTGTGCTGTAAAAGTGGGTGGACAGTTACACAACTGTTTTCTAATTGTTTTTCGAAACATTTCTCAAATTAGTTCTTTATACAGTGGAAATGGCCTTGTAATTCATTGACTGATACAATTAACATCACCCAGTTGCTGAAATCTTTCAAGAGTTTAAAAGTGGATGTATTTAAAAATACGTGATAGCCCTTTAATCTTACAGCTCTGTGTTATAGAATCTTGTTTTCAAAGTGCTTTAACAGTGTTGGACTGAGAAAAGCCAAGCTTCTGTCAACAGGTGAGACCTTTGTACTTCACAGAATGTAACTGATGTGGGATAATGTTCTTTCTGCAGCTTCGAGTAGTGGGACAAGGCTACATAGAGGCTATGTAGAAGAAGCCACATTAGAAGACAAACCACCACAGACTAGTCACATTGTGTTTGTTGTGCATGGTATTGGGCAGAAAATGGACCAAGGAAGGATCATCAAAAACACAGCGATGTGAGTGCTTTGTGATGTTTGAAGTAGCCTGAATATAAATGACAGCACAGCCTTTGGTTTAAGCCAGACCTTTCCCTGTTTCCTTCTCCTCCTCTTTCCCCTGAGTCGTTAATCTTTATGTTGTGGGTACACTGTTTTCTGTGTTGATTGGGTGGTATGGACTCAGGGAGGGCAGCTGGGAGCAAGAAGAGCAAAGATTTAGTCTGGTTTTATGGCCAATACTTGTGACTTTTAGGGAACTGGCCCATGAGAGGACGTGGCCTCAAGTTGCACCAGGAGAGGTTCACGTTGGATATCAGGAAGAATTTCTTTATGGAAAGCCTTGTCAGGCACTGGCATGGGCTGCCCAGGGAGATGGTGGAGTCCCCATCCCTGGAAGTGTTCAGGAAGAGACTGGACGTGGCACTCAGTGCTCTGGGCTGTGTGACATGTTGGAGATTGGGCACAGGGTGGACTTGATGATCTTGGAGATGTTTTCCCACCTAAACAACTTTCAGTGACTTTGCTGAGCAGGGAGAGGTTTTCATTTGGTCAGAATCAAAGGGAATGTCATACCTGGGTGAATTAAGTAGATATCAACTGGGAAGAAAGTGACTGGGCAGAAAAATTTTGCTTCATTAGTATAGGAAAGTGGAATCTCTTGTTGTTCCAGCTGGTTGTCAGAACAGTGAGCAAGCAAAGTGCATACTGGTAAGAGAGGGGAAAGGGGGAACTACCAGGAGTGTTGTTATTCCTAACAGGACAGAAGCCCTTCACGCAGTTGGAAGGTGTTTCTGTGAGACTGTTCATGGAGTTCTGTGCCGGTTGAAAAGTAAAACATGATTGAAATCTTACCAAATCTTTTCCGTTAATGTCTTTTGTGAAAAGTGGTTTGAAAATGGATTTTGGTTTGACATCTAACTCAGCTAACTCAGAAAGCCAGTTAGGGTGCTGGTGAATGGGAAGAGAAATCCCTGAGATATGGGGAATTATGTTTCCCAGAGAAGCTGTGGCTGCCCTATCCCTGGAAGTGTTCACAGCCAGGTTGGACAGGGCTTGGAGCAACCTGGTCTGGTGGAAGGTGTCCCTGCCCATGGCAGTGGGTTGGAACGGGATGATCTTTAAGGTCCCTTCCAACCCAAACCATTCCGGGATTCTCTGTACCTGAAAAGATGTTTGAATATTAGAAGAAATTGTAAATTGTGGTGACAACATTGTGGGGGACAAGGTGGCATTGAGGAATCCTTCGTTAGCTGAAAGAAGAGGGTAAAAAAGTGTTAATTACAGATCTGTATTGCACAGATGGTTCAGTCGTGTGCCCCAAATAGTTCCACGTTCCATCAAAGCTGACAGAAACAACGACAGACCCAGTGACTCCTGTGGAAGTGTGTGTAGAGCTGGGACTGTTTTGTGGTAGGAGCTTTGTGAAGCTCCCTTTGAATCCAGGATGGGAATGTAGGTCAGTGCTCTGTGGTGTGTGCCATCGTGTCAGCAGGCTCTCGTGCTCCTGCAGCTCGTTCTGCCACTCCAGTGTCCTCTGGTGCGGCAGAGTAAACTTTCTGATGTCACTTCTGTGTCATTTGTCATGTCAAAGCAACAACCTGCTGCTCCCCAGTCCCCTCGTTCTGCCACTTCGCTGCTCTGTTAGTCATGTTATTGAAGAGCAAGCAATCCAAACCAGAGAGAAAACACTCCACAGCCCCTGATTAAAAGTTAGTCGTGTAATAATAAAAGTTCAATTTTTGTAGGATGCAATTACACTGGGAATGAAAATACCCTAAATATAAGTTGCTGCTTTAACAGCGACGAGAAATAAAACTTCCACCTTGGAATCATTAAGTTTTTCTGCTTTGTCTTTCTCCTTCCCCCATTTTCCATAAATACAGGGGTTATATGGGTGGATTAACTTCAGCTCAGGCTGCAGTGCAGAGATGTTCATTCCATAAGTCCTGCTTTAATTGGCAGCCCAGTATATGAAATACTTTCTCAAAAAAGGAAACAAGATTTTATGTGCTTCAGTAAATCTCTCTCATACCCTCAAGAAATATCAGACAGTATTGCATAGCCTTTTAAAATGCTAATTATTGGCATAAATTGTGCATTCTCTACAAAGTCTGCAAATTAGAGCATCATTTTAGATTGAAGTCTCTCTTTTTTTTTTTTTCTTTTTAGATTGAAGTCTCTCTTTTTTTTTTTTTTTTTTTTTTTTTTTTTTTTTTTTTTTTGTAAATAGCTTAAAACTTACCAGTGAAGAACATCCCATATGTTCTGAGAAGAAATTTTAAAGGAAACGTCTGCCAAGCTCTCACAAGCCATACTAACACTTTCTGTTAGCACCTTCATCCCTGATATATGTGTGCTGTTTGGTTTTGTTGGGGGTTCTTTTTACGTTCTTTTACATCAGGGACATCAATCAGATGTGTCCTTTTGAAAAATAAGATGAATACGGAGAAACACTTTTTGACCGTTCACAGTGTAAAGTGGAAACCAAGGAGAAGAGATGTCAGTGGGGTTTTTTTACTTTTTAAAGGCACATTCTTTAGCAGGAAATTTGTAGTTGCAGACACGTTAAATCTGTGACTCAAGCCACAGGTCTGTCCTTCAGTGTCACTGCTCTTTTCTTCCCTTATCAGTGGCTGGGTACCACCAGCACATGTAGAAGGTCCTGTCAGAGCTCAGCATTGTCTGGGGCTGTGTTCAGCTTTGGAGGACTTGAATCTTACTTGGGATATAAAATCACAGAATCCCTGAATGGTTTGGGTTGGAAGGATGCTTAAAGATCATCCAGTTCCAACCCTCTGCCTTGGGCAGGGACACCTTCCACTGTCCCATCCCAGGTTGCTCCACCCTGGCCTTGGACACTTCCAGGGATCCAGGGCAACCACAGCTTCTCTGGGCAACCCGTGCTAGGGCCTCACCACCCTCACAGCCAGGAATTCCTTCCCAATATCCCATCTATCCCTGCCCTGTGGCAGTGGGAAGCCATTCCCCTTGTCCATTCCCTCCATCCCTTGTCCAAAGTCCCTCTCCATCTCTTTTAGAGTCCCTTTAAGTACTGGATGCTCCATATGATGCTCAGGTGAGACAACCACCATGACACCCTGCGTTTTTTTGGAAATGGTGCTTGGAGGGTGTGCTGGTTTAAGAGTTAACCAGCAGGGGAAATGAACTCAACTCAAAGGAGAGATTATAAGTCAGAATAACAATTTACTAAAATAATACAGTAAGTACAATCATACAAACAAACAATTGGTCTTAACCCACAAAACCCAAATGTATAACCCAGTACCCTGGGGCATGAACAACGTGGGGTTCCTTGGGCCCCGCTTGAGTCCAAAGTAAAGGGAGAGGGGAAGAACCTGCTGGTGGGAGAGCTGTTGCAGTCTGGTCAAAAGTGGTGATTGCAGTGAGATGCTGGGGGGAGAGCTGTTGCAGTCTGGTCAAAGTGGTGATTGGAGTCCAGTATAGGGTGGTGATCCAAGTCTGTTTGAGAGCGATGAGCCGCAGTCCTTCTCTGGATCCCACAGAGTGGTTAAAAATGTTCCAAGACTCCAAGATTATATATCCTGCAGTTCAGGCAGGAATGCTCAGCACTTCCCTCAGGGCGGGGAGTTCCACAAAGGGTGTGAGGACAGGAGCATCCTCCTATCTCACAGGCCTCTTAACACCTAGTTTATAGCCTGAGGAGTCAGGCTCTATGGGCAGATGGTGTAAATGGTTCATTGATAACAGTTTCTGGGAAATGGCATGGAAGGCTATAGAATACACAGTTTTGGGTTACACCCATACCCTGATGAACTGGTCTCAGTTGTCCTAACTAGGACAGAGGGACTCTGGGATTTCCAAAAGGGAATGCTTGTTCAGGTGCCTTTCATTTCTGCCATCCACAAAAAAATCTCTTGTCCATTTTATCTTTGCACTGTACATTTATTGTTGTTTCTATTGGGCTTCATTCTGCTCTGGGATGAAACTTCTGTGTTTATTCCAAGCTGTGTGAGCACAACAATTCATACACAGCACAAGAACGTGGCCTCACCTGAACAAGGAGTTGTAAAAGAAATAAAAAGAAAGTGCAAAAATGCACTTTATAACCCAGGCATGGAACACTCTGTAACCCAGGCCAGTGAGAGACACCCACCCAGAGCTCATTTGACAGGTTCTGTCCTCAGGTTACCGCCTTGAGAAGAACCTGGTGCAGCTCACATGATGCTTCTGCATCATTAAGCAGATCCTGTTGGTTACAGAGGTGAAAACAGAACTCTTGTCCAGGGTAATTTAAAATTGTCTGCACTAATTTCATTAAGGAATGGAGCTCAATCTCCTCATTAATGTGGTCGGGTGCTGTGGTTGCAGAGTATCCTGGAAGTAGGTAAATGGAAAAGATGGACTTTTATCGATGGTTGGGTGAACAGTTCTGGGGTAGATGTGACATAATTTTGTTTCTTCACTGTGTAGTTAAACACATTTATTATCTAAATGTAGCACAGCAGCTGGTGCAACAAGCTGCTCCTGTCAGCACCAATATTAACTGGGAACTCATCTGGGAAGAGACAGTCCCTCTTCCAGGCTAGAACAGTGATTCAGCTGCCCCAGCATGAACAGAATAATGTGCTGTGAGCTGCTTTGGTAGCCTAGAGATGGTTATTTATGGAGAAGACAGTATATTCTGTATTTCTCTGTAGCATAAACCAAGATATTATGGCATAGTGTACTTAATTGGAGGGGGTTTTATTTGCCATCAGGTGCAGAATTCTGGAATTACCAGGTTTATGATAAAGTAGATGTTAGATTTAAAATAAATAATTTTGGCATATCTTTTTATTTTACTATATGCACTTTCATGTTATTATTTGGAATATATTTTTCACTGAAACCTCACCTCTGATTTTGTTGAACTTGTGCTTCTAGATTCGGAGGGGGAGATGTCGTTACGCATGTTGAATGTAGTTTAGAATTACAGAATGGTTTGGGTTGGAATGGGCCTTAAAGTTCATCTAATTCCAGCCCTGCGTCGTGGACAG